CCCCTGCCACCCATCCCCGTTTATTCTCCTCCCCTTAGCCCCCTCTCCTCGCTGCAGCCCCGAATCTCTCTCCTGCTGTTTCCCACCCCCTGCCCCCAATGCCCCTCCCCTCCCAGGAACCACTCACAGGGTGATTTTTCCCCAAATACTTTGGGGAGTGCAGGCAGGGTGTGTGTGTTGGGGTGCAGTGGCAGAGCTGGGGATACAGGGGTGGGGGGTGCATGAGGAGAGCTGGGGTGCACTTGCAGGGCTGGGATACAGAGTGTCTGGGCATGCAGGGGCAGAGCTGTGAAGTAGGCTGGGGTGTAGCCAGGGGCAGATTTGTGGGTACAGGGTCTGGGGGTGCACAGAGAGTTAGGGCTGAAGAGGGGCTGGATGTCCTGGCAGGACTGGGATACAGAGGGGCTGGGGGTGCAGAGGCAGATCTGGGGTACAAGGTGTGGGGGTACCTGGGGAGAGCTGGGGTGCACTAGCAGGGCTGCGATACTGAGGGGCTGGTGTGCAGGGACAGAGCTGGGGGTACGGGGGGTGCAGGGGATTGGGGTGCACGGGGAGCTGGGGATACAGGGTCTGAGGGTGCATGGGGATAGCTGGGGGTGCACTGGCAGGGGTTGGAGTGCAGAGCAGCTGAGGGTGCACAGAGGTGCACTGGCAGGGCTGGGATACAGAGGGGCTGGCGGCAAAGGGGCAGAGCTGGGGTGCAGGGTTGGGGTACATAGGGAGAGCTGGGGGTACAGAGATGGGGGATGCAGATTGGGGTGCACGGGGAAAGCTGGGGGCGCAGTGGCAGGGCTGGGGGTGCAGGGCCATACACCCTCCCCCTCTCCCTGCGCAGGAGCGGGGAGGCCCCGCGGGGCATGCTGGGAGCTGCAGTCCCGCGCGGGGCATGCCGGGAGCAGTAGTCCGGGCCGGGAACACTGGATCCGAGCGGGGTCCCGGCGGAGCGCGGCGCCCCCTGCGGTAAGAGCTGGGCTGGGCCAGAGTTGGGGCGGGGGCGGCTTCGGCTGCTGGGCTCGAAACCCAGGAGTCCGGCCCCCTCCCCCCAGCCACTAGACCCCCCCCTCCTCCCCACCTTTCCCCGGGCGCAGAACCTAGGAGGCTCCCAGGCCCCCAACGCCCCCCCCCCAAGATACTAGTCCCCACTCTCCTCCCAGCTCTAGGCTCGGAAGCCAGGAGTCTGGGTCCCCCCCCTGAAACCACTAGACACCCCCCCACCCCTCCGCTTTCCTCCTGGAGCTGGGATAGAACCCAGGAGTCCGGGCTGCCAACTGCCCCACTTAACCCACCCCACCCCGAGTGGCAACAGGCAGCCTGGGGCGCTGTCCATCTCCCTGGTGTTTCTCCTCCCGCAGGTGCCGGGACGTGGAGCAGGATGGCCCAGGGGACCCCTCCTGTGATGTTGACCCCGGCTGGGCTGTCGGCCCTAGGATGCCTGCAGCAGGGTGGAGCCAGTGCCCCCCAGCAGGAAGGGGATGGCGACAGCGGGCACCGGGCCAGTGGAGATGTGGGGCCGGATGTGTGGTGGGAAGAGGTGCAGGGAGACACGGGGACGCTCTCAGATCTGGGTGGCCAAAGGAAGGGGGACCATGGGGGCCAGGCCATGGGGGAGGGGGAGCAGAAAAGAGCCGGGGGACCGGCTGCCCCGGTGCGCCCCCGGCGGTACGGGTGCAGCGTGTGCGGCAAGGCCTTCTCGCAAAGCTCCACGCTGATTGTGCATCGGCGCTCGCACTCGGGCGAGCGCCCCTACACCTGTGAGGAGTGTGGCCGTGCCTTCGCCCAGAGCTCGGGCCTGGCCAAGCACCGGCGGGTGCACACAGGTGAGCGCCCCCACCCCTGCCCCGAGTGCGGCCGGCGCTTTGGCAAACGCTCCAACCTGGCAGTGCACCGGCGGGCCCACACCGGTGAGCGCCCCTTCCCCTGCCCCGCCTGCCCCAAGGCCTTCGCCCGGCGCGCTGACCTGGCTGTCCATGGCCGCACCCACACCGGGGAGCGACCCTACCGCTGCGCCGACTGCGGCAAGGGCTTCAGCACTGGCTCCAACCTGGCGCAGCACCGGCGCACGCACCAGCCTGATCGGCCTTACCGCTGCGCCCAGTGTGGGAAGGGCTTTCCCGGCAGCTCGGAGCTGCTGCGCCACTGGCGCTCCCACACCGGGGAGCGGCCCTACCACTGCGGCATCTGCGGCCTGGCCTTTGCCCACAGCACGGTGCACCGGCGCCACCAGCGTGCCCACCTGGAGGAGTCGCCCTACCGCTGCGGAGACTGCGGGCGCAGCTTCGCCCAGCGTTCTGACATGGTGGTGCACGGCCGCACCCACACTGGCGAGCGGCCCTACCGCTGCCCCGACTGCCCCAAGGCCTTCGCCCAAAGCTCCCACCTGGCCACCCACCGGCGCAGCCACACCGGCGAGCGCCCCTACCGCTGCCCTGACTGCCCCAAGGCCTTTGCCCAGAGCTCGGCCCTCACCGTGCACCGGCGCACCCACACTGGCGAGCAGCCCTACGCCTGCGGAGAATGCGGCCGACGCTTCCACCGCAGCTCCAATCTTATCCGTCACCAGCGCACCCATACGGCCGAGCGCCCCTTCGCCTGCCCGCAGTGCGGCCGACGCTTCCATCGCCGCTCTAACATGGTGGTGCACCAGCGCACCCACTCCCGGGCCAAGGGGCTCTGCCCGCCGGCTGCCAGGGACGCTGCCCGCTGGGGGGCCTTGGAGACAGAGAGCCCTAGCCCTGTGCCCACAGCCACGGGGACTATATAGCCCTGCCCTGGCCTTAGAGCCCCGCTCGCATGCTGTGCTGTGCTCTCCTCAGCCCGTGCCGGGCGCTGCACCCCCAAAAGGCCCTCAACGAGGCGGGGCGAGCGGAAGGCTGGCAACGACCTGGCAGGGAGAGCGCTTGGCATGGCCCCTTCGCCCATCTGTGAGGCCCAGCCGCAGCAGCAGCAGCGAGACAAAGTAGGCTGGGAGCTCAGGGGCCGAGTTTGCACCTTGAGAGTGATTTGCCGGGGAACTGCCCCCTCCATCACTGGGCGCTGTTACAGCCAGACCATGCTGGAAGCCAGGTGCTAGCTCCACCACCAGATAGGGGCTGGCCACTGGGATCTTCGCCTGCTCCCGGCTCTGGAGTTCAGGGCCCAGCTACCGCTGGAAGGAGGACGAGGATGGTCTGCAGGTTGCATGTGGGGAGGAGGGGAAGCTGGGGCTGATGCTTCTGTTTTGAAATAAAGCATTTGTACCCTTTTGCAAGACGATCCCCATTTCCTCAGGGGCCCTCATCCCGCTGGGAAGCCACCCTCCCCAATGGTAGGTGGTGTCCCACCCACACCTGGGCCATGCCCAGCCTGTCCCAGCATGCACTGTGAGCATAATGCTCTCCCCTGGTCTGTAGCGCCTAGGTGAGAGGAGGCAAGCTGAAAATCTTGGGGGAGGGGAAGAAAATAATCTGCATGGGGGGGTAGCAGAAGGGCGCATAGCTGGGGCAGTGTGTGTGGGGGGCGGGTGGTCTGTAGGGGCTTTATGGGCCAGCCTGAAATAGGCTGGATTAGCGAAACAGCCCCAGTCCTGGTCTGGATGAGCATAAATAACCAGACTGGGGCCATCTATACAGAATCTCGGGGACGGTTTCAGTGATCTGAACTGGGCTAGGAGTCCCTGTGGTCCATATGGGACTACATCGGCCCAAGCAGCGGGCTTCATAGATTCCAAGGCCAGAAGGGACCATTGTGATCTTCTAGGCTGACCTAGTATCTCACAGGCCAGAGAACCGTCCCAAACAATTCCTGGAGCGGGTCTTAAAACATCTGAGCGAGATTTAGAAATCATCAGCGATAGCGAATCCACCCGGTCCTTGGGACATTGTTCCTGTGGTTAATTACTCTCCTCGTTAAAAAGCTATGCCTGATTGCATGGACCAGATTGGATTGGGATATATGGCCTGGCATATGTCTGTAGGGGTGAGATGGCTTTGTTCTGTAAGGGCCCACAAAGGGGTGCTGGTCAATATGGGATTATATGGCCTGTGTGGAGGGAGGTCAGATACAAAAGGGTTTGGAGTAGAATGCTCTGAATTGGTTTGTGAACCCATATAAGGGGTTGGGGGAAGGGTCCGTATAGAATTACCTCCTGGTCTGTACTGGGATATATGACCTGGGGTAGAACAATCCAAACCTACAAAGTTATATTGCCCTGTTGTAAATATCTGTCACATCCAAAGGGGGAACAAGTGAAGATCGCAAGGTCAATCACTGAAAACGTAGCCAGCGGCTCAATGCGGACTGTGTCACCCTACAGCCCTAAGAACAGTGTCCACACCCCGGGCGCCCTGCCTTGTTCAGTTGCACGGGACAAACAGCAGGTCAATATCTTGGGTTGGCCTCCTTGGTCAGTGGGCGGCCCTGGGCCATATTCACAGACTGGTGAATGGGAACAGAGGGGTTATCCCATCTGACAGGTGGTTTGTATGGCTTTGTGGGGCAGCTGCAGGGCCCATACAGGTCTATATGGCCTATGGCAGGCTGTGAGGAGGATGCAAGGCCTATACAGGCTGTACTGCTCCTAGCACGAAGCAAGGAGGATGTAGGGCCCATACAGGGCAGCTGTGCAGAGGGTTGTACAGCCCAGGAGGGCTGAGGGGGAGCAGACAGAGCAGGACCTCTCAGGCTCATCGGCTATTGGGAGGTTGCAAGCCCTATACAGCCCTGTATGGCTGGGGGGGAAGGGGGGGAATAGGAGTTGGCTCACTTTTGGAGAGGTATCAAATGTTTGCCCAGGGGATATATAAGCCTCCCAGACACTCTGGTGTTTACAAGTGACGGTGAGCAGGCGATGCAATTCTCGGCATGTGCCGCGGCGTACGCAATTCGCCCCCCTTTCACGCGCGCGGCCGGCTCCCGCCCCCCATACTCCCAGCATACACCGCGCCCGCTATGCAAATGAACCGGCTCCGCCCGCCAATAAGTGTCGCCGATCGGCGAGCCCCGTGTGTGTCTCACATAATACCATGCGCGCCTACCCGCTAGGGGCGGGGCTCCGGTTCCTCCACGCCCGCGACCGGCCAGGGCAGGGGACGGGGCTAATGCAAATGAGCGATATGCAAATGAGGATGGGCTGCGCGAGAGTTCGGTTCCCGGAACGTTGCCTGGAGCGTGGGCAGGTGGGAGCCGCCGCTGCCAGGTGCGGGGAGGAGAACCCTGGGGGGGTGCAGTGGGGGAAGGGTGCAGGGAGAGGTTGGGGTGTAAGGGTGTGGGGGAGCAGGGGAGTAGTGAGGGAGGGGTTCAGGGGGCCTCTAGGGGGTGCAATGGGGCGGGAAGCATTGGAAGAGGTGCAGGCGTGGTTGGGGGGTGCAATGGGGCTGGGGTTGCAGTGGGGGAGGTCGGGGGGTGCAATGGGTCAGGGTTACAGTGGGGGGGTGCAACAGGGCTGGGGTTGCAGTGGTGGTCTGGGGGCATGCAGTGGGGGAGGGGTGCTCTGGGAGTTCCCGGAGGTGGGGGTGTTCTGGGAGCAGGGAGTTAGGGTCAAGGGGGGAAAACGCGAAGGGTTAGGATATTGCATTGAGGGCGGGGGGCTGTGGGGGACGCAGTGGGGCCTGGAGCTGTTGCAGAGTCCCAGCGGGGGAGGGAACTGGTTCATGGAGTGCTACGTAGATCATGGTGGGATGGTCCATATAAGGCTGTGAGAGTGGGCAGGGAGGAACATGCTCATTCATATAGGGCTGTGTGGCCCTGGGGATCTGCTGGTACATACAGGGCTGTGTGGATCTCTATAGGGTGGTCTGTATAGGGTTATATGGTCGTGGGGGGGTGCTCATCCATACAAAACTCTATGAATTGCTGTAGGTTGGTCAATATAGGGTTATATGGCGGGGGGGGGGGGGGGGAGGGTATTGGGTTGCAGGAGGATGGGCCCTCTGGGGGTTGATGGCCTGGGGGGGGGGGGGTGTGCTGGTACATACTGGGCTATATGGATCTTGGTAGGATGGTCTGTATAGGGCTATATGTCCTGGGTGGGTGCTGGTTCTTACACAGCTGTATGGATGGCAGTAGAATGGTCTGTATGGGGCTATATGGCCTGGGATGTGTGTGTACTGGTCCATACAGGCTGTATGGATTTCAGTAGGATGATCTGTATGGGGCTATATAGCTTGGGGATCACAGTCTGTGGATCCCTGCCTCCCTTCTCTCTGCTCGCCAGCCCCGCTTGTCACTCCCAGGATGAGGCGGAAGCAGAGGGCAGCCGAGGCGGGGGGCGCGGGCCTGGCACTGGAGCGCGCTGGGGGTGGCAGGACTCCGGCGGCACCTGGCATCGCTTCGTGCCTGAGCAGAGTGAGGTGCTGACACAGGCAGCCAGGTGAGTGCCCTGGGGGCGGGGGGGGTGTCGTGGCTCCGGCTATGGTGGGGGAGTCACTGGCTCTGAGCCGTGTCCATCTCCCCCCAGGGCAGGGAAGCCCAGCGTGACTGTGGGTTCCCGCGTGGACCTGCGGCGGATGGTGCAGCGGGATGGACAGACGGGGCAGGACAGATGTGTGGCAGCCGCTGTCCAGGACCAGGACTCCTGTGAGTGCCCAGGGCCCCCTGGCGGGGGGAGCAATGTCGTCGCGGATGCCTGGGTCCCACGCCCTGTCCTGATCACTCCCCCAAGTTATGGGGCACCCTAGGGGTCAGCACCCTGCTGTGCTTCCCGGACACCTGTGTCCTATGCCCAGTCGTCGTCACTGCCCCAGAGGCTGGGAGCTGTGGGGCCTCCAGGGGTGAATGCCCTGCTCAGCCACCTGGACACCTGGGTCCAATGCCCCATCACCATCACTGCCCCAGAGGCTGGGAGCTGCAGGGTTAGCGCTGGCAGGGAGCTAATAGGATGCCTGCGGCCCAGATTTCGTGTGGTGCTGGCAGGGGGACGAAGAGGGGCAGTGGCTGCCCTACCCTGCCGATACCTGCCTGGCGCTGGAGCGAGCGCGGCGCGGCGACGGGGGGCCCAGCCTAGAGGTGACGTTCAGCCGGACCCACTACACATTGGACACGTCACAGATGACCCAGACCAACGTCAGAACTGGATACCAGCGCCGGATGGAGCGGAGGGAGTCAGGTACTCCTGGGTTCTCTCCCTGGCTTTGTGAGGGGAGTGGGGCCTAGTGGGTAAAGCGGGCTCTGTGGGAAGCTGGGGGAAGGGGGTTCAGGCTCCCAGGGCCCAGCTCCGGTTGGTGAGCAGGTCTCGGGCACCTGGGGCGGGGCAGGCCTTGCTGCCAGAGTGTAAGCTCGTTAGTCATTAATCATCCCCCAGGGAGCTGGGAGGAGAATCTGACGCCAGGCACAGCTGCATCACAGCGACAACGCACAGGGTGGCTTGCCTGGTGCTGAGATGCGGCCATCTCTGGGGTGTGGCACCCTCCCCTCCCCCTCTGACCCATGGCCTCTCTCCACAGACGCTGTGGATGATCATGGGGGATCTGAGCCCAGCTCCGTCCCTGGCTCCTCGTCCCCCCAACGGCCCCCAGCGCCGAAGAGACCCCGGGATGGGGGGGCCAGCCCCAACCCCGGAGCCAGGGGAGAGAGCACAGGTGAGGGGTGGCGAACTACAGCACCCGTGGTCTGC